GCTCTTAATTGCATTATCATACTGTATCATACTGTGCCCCACCCCCCCCCACCCCCACCACGGCGCTGACTGACAGGATTCACTGAGAGGAGAAACTCCATGAGGTGCAACCCAGGAATCGAGGAAGTGATCTGTTGCTGTTCACTTCCTCATCAACAGACGACCTGTTTACAAGCTCGGCTTCCTTCCAGATTTACTGCAGAAAATTACCAGAAGAAAAATGAATTTATTTGTGTTTCCATCCACTACTGAATTAGAAATATTAAGATTTGAATGCTTGGAGATAAACAGCTGGTGGAGCTGTGGCGTTGTGCTTTGATCGACACACTGAGTTCGTTGTTGTCGGGACGTCTGATTCGTTTACATTCAGCATTTAACTATTGGACGGATTAATCTGACATTTAGTACAGATGTTCATGATCCCCAGAGGATGAAGCCTACTGACGGCAGTGAACCTCCGACGTTTCCTCTAGCGCCACCGGCAAAGCAAAGTAACAGAAAAGTTTAAAAGGAGAGAGTTGTAGAACTTGTTCGGACGTGTGGAGCATGAAAGCTGAACGCTGCTCCTCCATGTCTAGCTGAGACCACGTGAGCAGACCAGTCGCGGCCCAGCTGAGAGGACCGCACGCTTCATCACGGAGCAGCGGGTCGACGTTTTCACAGATTCAGTGAAAAAGCTTCACACATGCAGCATGGGTTAGTGCAGGCGATGATGGCTCCCAGAGGATGAAGCCTCATGATCTCCAGGCTTTTTCCGAACTCCATCCTAAAATGTTTTCACATCTCCACAGATTACTGAGCCGCAGAAACCACGGCTTCGATAAATCTGAGGCAGGATGAATAAATAATGAGTTTGGGGTCAGTAACTAAGTCACAGGATAACTCTTTCAGAGGGTGTAAGTGTTCACTCTCGGTGCTTGGGGCGTTATCTTTTAATTTACAGCCATTACACCAAGTTATTTGTTGTGCCTCCGCCCCGCCCACGCAGCCTCGGCCGTCCCTCCAGTGCTGTTCTCAGCTCCGATTAGACGGCACGAGGAGGCTGCAAAACCGCCGCAGTCCTCCCAACACATCCTCCTCATATCGACGGCCAGGGCTTTTTTGTTTTTACAGCCACAATTAGAGCCCAGAAGTGTAAGCGTTTTGTGCAGCTCCTGCAGAATCAACAAAAGCTGCCTATTAAACTCCTCTTTAGTGGCACTGTCCCTCATTTTTATATCCTCGCTGGGTTTATGAGCGTCAGAGGCTGAAAGGCCAATAAACCTGCACATCCCACAACTCAACCTGGACCTTATTTACTTACTCTTCTCCTCTCTTTTCTTTTCTCCTCTCTTCTGCTGTTTCCTCTCCTCTCTTTCGCCTGAATCCTCCTTTATTGTCTCCTCTTCTCTCCCACCGTCTCCTCTGTTATCCGTCTTTTCAAGTATCTCCATTTCTTTGCCTCCCACCTCCTCGCCTCCTCCTCCTCTCACTCATCTTCACCCTCCCTCTGTTTGCTCTCTCCGTCTCTCCTCTCCTCCCTCTTCGTCCCCTCTCAGCACCTTTCATTGCTCTTAACGACGTACAGCGCATACATCAGCCTCACTAATTAACTCATAAATCATCTGGATGCACTTGGAAAGTTTGAGCGTCTGGCAGAGCGTTGGTGGCTTCCAGCGCACACTTTGATCCGCACGTACAGCAGATGATTGTAGTGTTCTTAATAATGAACTGTGTGGGGCTGTAATTAACTAGAAAACAGTAGTCATCAGTCTCTTGTTTTCTCCTCTTCACTGTAGAGTATCACACAGTGAATGAACACCCCAGTAAACCATCGATGTGAACTGAACGTTATAACCGTGACGGAGGAGGACCATCGCAGGACTGTCGGGTTAGACTTCATTAGCTTCATCCGGGTGTACCTAATAAACTGACAGCTGAGTGCTGACAGTCATAACAGACAATACACCTCATAAAGGAAGTAACCTGTCGGATGAAAAGGCAGAGACCAGTTCCAATGCAACAAAGACGTGTGAGGGAAAGATCTCACAGAGAAGACAGGAAATCACAACCCAGTGTTGTGTCACCGGTGTGTCACTGTTGTGTCACTGTTGTGTCACTGTTGTGTCACTGTTGTGTCACTGGTGTGTCACTGGTGTGTCACTGGTGTGTCACTTGTGTGTCACTGGTGTGTCACTGGTGTGTCACTGGTGTGTCACTTGTGTGTCAGCAGCTGAACTATCAGTGTGAGCCTGGAAGCTTAGCTGTTCCTGGATCAGCATCATCAGGAGACTCCTCTTGGTTGTGGAAACACGCTCCGTCGATTTCACGTGGATCTGTCCATTAAACTCTGTGGTTTGTTCTGTTGGTGGAGTTGAGTGGTAGTTTCCTCCACCCACAGACGTCACACAGTCACTTCAGGAATCTGACAGGGGACGATGAAGTTGAAAGGAGGAAGATCTGAGGTCGATGTTTTTTCTGTCCCTGTTGTTGGGAGCGGTTTCTCGAAGGTGCTGCAGAGGCGTCGGACGTAGCTGCTGTTTTCTCTCTCAACACGAAGCTGATTCAGCTGCCGAGGAGGGAAAAGAGCCACAGCGGCAGAAACGTCCCGACAGAGACGTATGGAGTGGGAGCGCGTCCTCAGTGTAAACACAGGGCTGTGGATCATTGTTTAGAAGATCTACACTCACATTTATCCTGCAGCTGATGACTGACGTGTCACAAATGCATTTGTTTCTTCAGACCGAGCTGAAGCTCCGGAGTCAGCAGCTCTGATATCGAAGTCTGAAGTCTCCTCTCTGTCCTTTACTGCGTCTTTGTTCTGTTTTGTTGCAGAGGTTTTGTTTAAACTCTGAAGGCTGACTCTTTCTTTTTCTTTTCCCATCAGAGTAACATTCACTTCACCGTGTCCGCCAAACTGCTCTTAAAGATAACACACACACACCTTCAGCTGGTCCAGTCTCTCTCACACACACACACACACAAGGCCAGTCAGTCAAAGTGCTTTTAGTCCGACCCTGTGTTTTTCATTTTCCAAAACACCACCAACATGAATCAGGCTTCACTTCACAGGTCCACAGTTTCTTAACAACTCCCGGGAAGTTTCCTGAAAAGAAGCAAATAATCTGGTATTAATTAAAAATGAAATTCTGTGGACACAGAGTTCAGTTTCCTATTAATTAATTCCAGTTGATTGCACAGAAACCTGGAGTCTGTTTGTCAGAGCAAGCGCAGCAGAGAGCAAACACTTCAACGTACACGAGAGGCTCGATATCCAAACTGTGATATCTTGGTACAGTCCAGCCCAGATATCACCGTCAGAAAATACTAAACAGTAAAACAGAGGAGATTTATTAAAGTGAGTAAGACCAGAAATAAAAGGTAGGGCATGAAAAACAAAATAAAAATGAAGAAAAGACATTAAAGATGAAATGATAAGATAATTAAAAAAAGAGGGGATGTTTGGAAGTGAGTAAAACCAGAAATAAAAGTAGAATATTTAAAAGGAAAACAATCCAGAAAATAAACATAGAATTAAAGGACGAACCAGTTTAAACAGCTTAAAATGTAATAATGAATAAACAGATAAATAGATAATAATAAAAGGTCGGTCCTGAGTTGTACGATATTCAGCAACAGCGCAGATAAATATTCACTATTCATTTTTTTAGCCAGCGTGGACGTGACGTCCTTAAAATGCGCAGAAATACAGATAATGTAAACATCTACATCTCCATGACAACTGGGTAAACTCTGTCTGCCGATGAAGGTCATGTGATACGGTTGAAAACTCCAGCTTGCAACTACTAAATGGACCTTGTGGTGAACAAACTTTTTCCATTTAGTTTTTTATATGAAATTCATGTTTTCATATGTGAAATGTCTCACTTGAATGTGTAAACTTGTCAAAATCAAGTGTCTGTATTGTGACTTTATTGGCGGTAACTGCAGTAAACACTGAGACACGAGGTGTGTTTCATGTGACTGTCAGTGTGTTGTGTTTAGAAACGACAGCACGTTCCAGTTTTGTTGAATCCACCATTAATGGTGAATATTTGTCACAGTTTTGTTCCTTCTCAGCTGCTTTATCCTCCGACACTGAAACGTTCCAGCTCAGTTTTTAATGAAACTCTTCCTCAGTCTGGATCCAGCTTAAAGTGTCTTCTTCTTCTTCTTTTTCTTTTTCTTCTTCTTCTTCTTCTTCTTCTTCTTCTTCTCAGACTAAACTCACACTCACTGTTTCTTGTTGGCGGCAGTTTCTGGTTTTGTTTCTTTCGGGCTTCTGTTTAATTAAAGTGGGATTAATGAATCGCATTGTGAAACAAAGACAGACCTCCAGCTCTAATCAGGCTCAGCACAAAGAGGGAGACCAGCACAGAGACACACTGACAGCAGGGGGGGATGGGGGGGGGGTTACAGCTTGTTCAGGATTTTCTCCTTTTCAGGTTTTCCATGTTTCCACGATATAAATGTGACACTTACTGAGTCCTTGTTCTTCAGCCTCATTAGACTCAGACAATTCAGGATCATCTGATCTCATCTGTGCAGTGACACGACTCCTGAGGCTTTCAAACCTCTTTGTTCTAACAAACTGAGCTGCTGCTTTCTCATCACAAGAGTGGCTTTTATTTTATTGACCTGTTATTAACAGAAAGAGGTTTGATTTCTCTGCTGCAGACGAGTTTGATTTGGACTAAATCTCCAACCAGGTTCTCTGTGTCATGTCATTCCCATCAGCCTCAGCTTTACGTAGTGTTTGATGCTGATAAGCTAATGTTGTAGCATGCTAACACACCAAATTGACTGAAAGGTTGTGGGCTTCGATGGGCTTCTTTGCCCCCCTCCCCCCTGCAGTCTAGGATCGCACTGCTAGGAAGTTGATTTGAAATGGCGTCTCTTCTTCTCTCCTCCTCAGATGAAAGGATGCTGCAGGGACCTGACGAGGGACTGAGCCCTACTTGAACCCCCTCCCCCCTCCCCCCTTTCCCCTCCTTCCTCTCCCCTGACCCCCGACCCCTCAGAGCCCCTCAGCGCCGTCGTCCCACCATGAACCTGCTGTGCCGCGGACGCCTGAAGCTGCTGGTGGCGTCTCTCACAGCCGTCGTCCTGCTCACCTGGCTCTACCTGCTGGCGGGAAACCTGGAGAGTGAGTATGAGAGACGCAGCATGTGCAGATTGTTCAGTGCGATCTGAGAGTCCTCGCTCTGTAATTTCCATGGAGATTGGGTTTGGAGCTGATTTATAATAAAAGACTTGAGCTGTGGTTTGGGTCAAATAAGAGTTGCGGGAATCCAACCGACGAGAACAGAAAACATCAATTATCAGTCGTTTTTCTGCAGCTCAGCTCAATTTCCCTTCGATCCGACTATTAAGTTAAATTTTTAAACACATGGAGCCGATTTTCTGTTTGGTTGGATTTTTCACTCTGACATCCCGGAGAGCCGGCGAGGCTGCATCAGCGAGCCGCCGCAGTCTGCGCTTTTGTTTGGATCACAACAGCCGAGGTCGGTTCAGAGAATTTCTTTGCCACGACGCTGTGATGCTGTTTCCAGGAAGAGCTTTTATAACACACACACACACACACACACACACAGACAGTCAGGAAGTCACATGCACACCAGCCTGAGCTCATAAAGAACTGAACAAGCAGTGTACTGCGTCCAACACATTAGACACTGAAACCTGAAACTAAAACTGAGATTATATATAATTATGTTCAATTTTAATCATGTTCCCTGGGGAAGACTCGGTGACTTCAGTGACCATCTGACCTTTTAGCAAAATCTTTACTTCTAATGACCTGATTTCGCATGAACCTTTCCCAGGTCCTGTGCGGTGAAGACTTAATTTACAGGCAGGATGTTTGTCTTCTGAAACGAGACATCGAGCTTTCAGTCTTCACTCTTTCATTTCTAGTCTCAGTTTCATACAATAAAAACGTCTCATTCTGCCGATGACCCAGGCGAAATTAAACACCTCTGCGTCCTGAACAGGTCCATTAGTGGCTGTTCTGGAGTTTTCTCAGCAGATGGACTGTAGATATTCAAATTTCCATTTTTTTGTTTTTGCAGTTTTGCCCAGCTGCCAAGTCTGACCCTCGTTTCACTGCTTTCCTTACTGTACATTGTTATATGGTATATCCTGATATTTGGGCTTGAACAGTATTGAGATATTTAATTCTGGATATTGCCCAAGCCTATTCTCAGTCATGTTGACTGACATTTCACACTTCTTCTGTGATTTATTTGAAGTGTTGATCCATCAGAAGATATAAAAACCATCTCAGTGCAGTTTTACATCTCCTCTCTCAGGCTTCTCTCTGCAGCTCTAGTAACAACAGGTCGGTGATTTCTGTTGATTTCAGGTAAAAACACTCAGAGAAACCAAATCCTGCAAGGTTTGGATGGTGGGTCCAGGTGGGCGGGGCTTGGTGACTGCTTTGTTGTGACATCACAAAGTTCCAGAAGTCCTGACAGCTGGTTTTAAGGCTCAGTTTCTGAATACAGGCTGTGTGCATTTCTCTGTGGACTGAGGCTTTGATACTTTCACAGTATTAATATAGAAGCTAGAGCTGATCTATAATCACACTACACATGGACACAGACCTTTACACTGGAGGAGCTTTAAAACTTGAGATTGAAACTCACTGTCACTTACGACAGTAGCTGCTGCTGTACAAAGTGAAGTCACGTGTCGCTTAACGAAGCAGATTTCAAACACAGGGTCCAGTTACAGAACCAGAAAACTCTGATTCGTTTTCCGAAATTTCCACAGTCTGTGTTTCCATCATGTGAACATATCCATAGATACGTGACCACATGGTGTTTTAATGAAGCCGCAGTGACTGATACAGATTACACATTTCTGGTGTTTCTGCTCAAGCTTTTAATGCACATATTGAAAAAGCACATAAAAACAGGTGGAGTGGACCGTACCTGTCGTCTGTTCCGTTGGAAAGTATAATTGTCCTCATATGTCAGTCGGCTGTGTGATAAATAACTTGCTAACCTGAGCGGGAGCCACATCAACTGTCAGCTCATAAAATATCTGAGCAGATATTTGAGGGAGAACGTGATCCTCAAATATCTGAGCAGATATTTTATGACTCCCGTCCACGCCTGCGGTTGTGGTTTCTCCAAAACCAGATCCTGATGACAGAATCCCAGTGGAGTCCACAGTCTGTGCAGTGTGCCAGCGGTTTTCTCTCCGTGCGAATTTACCCTTTAATGTTGAATATAACATCCCTTAATCACACTGATTTGTTGTGGTTGGGAACAGTGTGACTTAAGGCCCTACATGTTTTGCTAAGACGCCACACAAAGACACATTCTGCACATTTCCTGGTCAGACGTCATATATTTGAGGTAAGCGGTGGTTCTTGGACGACGAGCAGAGCCGGGAAAAGAAGATTCCACTTTGTTGAGGATCACTCTCTGACTCACGCACTCGAACGTGGATGACAGATGAGTTGTCACAGTGCGGCGTATCCGTTTTAGCTCAGAGTGTTAAGAGTGATGGAGTAGCTTTTGGAGAGCGTTGGTGCTCTGAGCAGCAGCAGCTCATCGCTGCAGAAATAACCTGCGTTCTCTGCTGCTGCCGGCTGACTGCAGATCAGATTCTGGTTTTAATCTGTAGCCTCTGGTCGAATCTCCTCCTCCTCCTCCTCCTCCTCCTCCTCTCCTTCGCTCTCCATCTCATCCTTCGTCTCAAATTCAGATTTGCTTTGTTGCATTACATGATTAAAAGCAGCGCTGCCAAAGAAGGATTTACATGGTTTATAATGTGAGCATGATAATCCAGAATGTAAAATAATGCTAAATTACTACATTATCTACACTATACAACACTATAGACACTATACACAGTGGTACATGATAACAGTACAATACTTAAAGCTCCATATTTTCTTCTTCTGTGTTTTATTTGAAGTGTTGATCCATCAGAAGATATAAAAACCACCTCAGTGTAGTTTTACATCTCCTCTCTCAGGCTTCTCTCTGCAGCTCTAGTAACAACAGGTCGGTGAGCCAATCAGAAGAGAGGAGGCTCTGAGCCTCTCTTCTGATTGGCTGACTGTTTTCTGAGTGATCCAATAAAAATATAGCAGATTTCAGGTAAAAACACTCAGGCTCGGCTTGGTGACTGCTTTGTTGTGACATCACAAAGTTCCAGAAGTCCTGACGGCTGGTTTTAAGGCTCAGTTTCTGAATACAGGCTGTGTGCATTTCTCTGTGGACTGAGGCTTTGATACTTTCACAGTATTAATATAGAAGCTAGAGCTGATCTATAATCACACTACACATGGACAGAGAGAAGTGCAGTTCTGAAAAACTCGTACCTGGAGTGTTGTAATGTCATGCTGCTTTATACATTTATCTTGGCTTCTTTTCAGATTAAAACCTGCAGTGGAAATATAAAATATGATGCATGACCATGAACCAACACAACAGTAAATAAAATGGTGTAAAAATATAAACCTGTAATGACAATCTCACAGTATAATGCAGACTAATATAACTCTTTGAATACTTCTCCCACCACTCTCTATACAATACTATAAAGCTACGTTGCTATGCTAAATAGTGCTCTGTAATGTAAAAAGATGCTGCAAAGAAACTATGAAAAAATAAGAAGAGCCAGATTTTAAAGGAGCTTCCATCCTTCGTTGCTTCGCTTTTCACTTCGCCACAGATGAGGGTGTGAACATTCCCAGCATGCCTCACTTCAGCTGTGGGCCAGCTGCTGCTTTACTGGGTTAGAGAGAGGACGACAGAGAGTGAGATAGAGGAGGAGGAGAGAGAGATAGATAGAGAGAGAGAGTGAGAGACGGAGAGAAGAGGGGAAGGAAAAAATGTGAGATAGGGAGCGAAAAAAGGGAGAAAAAAAAAGAGGCAAGATTCAGTGTTGGTTTGGTTTTTTCATGGGAATAAAAATAAAATATAGAATATCATCAGAAATATCCTTTGTGTGTGTGTGCGCATGTGTGTGTGTGTGCGTGTGTGTGTGTGTGTGTCTTAAAATATGAATTAGGAAACAGCTTTTTTCCTTGTCCTCACTCTGCTTTTAACATTTCCATCATGACGCTGCTGAACAGAGCCTTTGGTTAAAAGCGAACAATCAAACAAATAACTGCTTTTTTTTGCTCTTTGCTGGTTGCGACTATCAGAAGAAACTGTGGCAGGAAATGAACTCGGGCGGTTTCACACAACAGCCCCGAGCATCACAACAACAGAACAACAGCTTGTTTAGTTTGTGGGTTTGTAATAAAACAATGTGAAACCAGAAATGTTGCTTTTTTATATTAAACCCTGGAATATGAAATGTGCACAGACTAATACTTGGCAAGGCAGCAGAGTCAGACCCAACGTCATGACAGAGAATTCACACTTTCATACATTTGGTATTTGAGCTCTGACACTTAATACACATCGATCAGGACTCAGAGTCCAGGACCTCCAGAACTTTGACCCCAAATGACCTCTGAGGAAAGCAGAAGAGTTCCCGCCTCCACTCCTGCTGAGGTCTGATAACATCTCTGTCATCTTATATCTCCTTTTTAAGTTTTAATAATTTTAGCAACTCAAACGCCACACCCTGAAGCACTCTGGGATTTGTTCACACCCCAGTCTGTCAGAAGAGTGTGAGGGAGGGATGAAGGTGGAGGGAGAGGAGAAGTGCGATGAGCCAATTTTCACGTGTGAGACTTTGGAGAATGTGTTGCTCACAACTCCTCAGCATGTTTGTTCCATAAAGTCAAAAAACAAAACAAAACAAAAAAACAGGAGCAAACCGTGTGTGATGTCACCTCCAGGTTTGAATCCTGGAGTTGAGGTTACACTTTGTGTCGTCTCGTCAGACGGAGATTTGAGCCTGTTAGCAGCCACGAGGACGACCTCCACATCCTGAAATCTAACTAGAGCTGTTCATGTCGCCTTTTGTGGAAATATCTGTTAATGCTATTATACTTTTTATTCCACTACATTTATCTGACAGCTACAGTTTGCAGAGTAATAATCTGTGTGGTCATAGATTAATGGTTATATAGTGTCATTAAAGTTCCTCCAGACATGTTTTAATCATCATCCTCTGCTATGATTCATACTTAGTCTAACATGGTTTTCACACATTGAAAAACTGGATCTGAAGCTCATCTACTCTGACTTCTAGGCCTTGAGCCCCGCCCACCACCTGCTGGCTCCAGGTGGACAGGTGAAAGAGCAGAGAGCATCAAGATGGTCAGAGGAGGAAACATGAGAGAAACTCAGCCACATGTTTGAGCCTCAGTCAGGACCAGAACCAGAGACTAGCAGACGGATCAGAACCGTTAGCATCTAATCAGAACAATTAACGCAGTTAGCATCTTTTCACAACGGTTAATGTAGTTAGCATCTTTAGAACGGTTAGCGTAGTTAGCATCTTTTCAGAACAGTTAGTGTAGTTAGCATCTTTTCAGAACAGTCAGTGTAGTTAGCTTCTTTTCAGAACAATTAGCGTAGTTAGCATCTTTTCAGAATGGTTAATGTAGTTAGCATCTTTTATTTGTTTATGTTGTTTGTTAGCTCCGTGGCTGACACAGTGTTAGCGGTTGTGCTAATGCTAACTTAGTCAGGGTTGCAGCTCTTAGTAACACTTACAACCCACAGGACATTCATTGAAACTCTCCCTAGTCCCATCCCCCATCCCCTCAGTATGGCCGCTCCCCTCGCTCCTGGCGTCCTGTCTGGCCGACACCCCGGCGGCCCAGGTCCTGGAGCGAGCCGTCCTGGAGTCGCGAGTGCGGGAGGTGGAGGAAGAGAACCGACAGATCCGGCTGCAGCTCAGCCAGTCGCAGCAGGGCACCGCCGCCCAGCAGCCGGACGGTAACTACGGCAACCAGCAGTGGGGAGCCTCGGCGGACACCGGACCGGAGGACGGGGACAACACGGCGGAGGAGAAGAACAACAACCACACGGAGTGTCCCCGATCGCCCACCGTCCAGAAGTGTGAGGTCGGGACATGAAACGCATTCAACTCAAACACCTGTGTCACGTTGTAAAATTTCCCCTTCTCTGCAGTATCAGAAGTAATCCAGTGATTGATGTCTGTTTCCATGGTTACAGTGCAAACAGGAAGTGGTTCACAGTTAATTTGTTGTATCACGCTCCTATAAGATTGAAGCTCTGCTGATACAGCAATGTGAGACTGTGTTAAAAATAAGATCTTAGGAGGGTTTATCTGTAAATACGCCCTCACCTCACCGCGTCGCTGCACTTCATACAAACTAATGGAAGAAAGCAGCAGCAGCAGTAAGTTCCTGAAGTCTCTTTGATGTCGTTTCCAGCCTTTAAACACCAACTTTTTTCAAAGACTTCTGCTGCTGAAAAGCAAGTGACATGAAATCATACATATTTGAGAAGCTAAATATGAAATTTCACATCAGAGAGCAGAGTGAATGTCCTGGATTATGCGCGGTTGTCGGGGGGACCTGCTCCTATCTCCAAAATGGAGCCATTTAAAGTGAAATGACAGAGGCAGTGAAACGAGTGAAACTTTTTTATTTTTCTAAAACGACGCAGCCGCTGATTCTCCATCTTCTGTCTCTGCAGCTCATCCATGTAGCGTGTGTTTGTGCCGGTCACAACGCCAGCAGAGACGTGGTCACGCTGGTCAAGTCCGTCCTCTTCCACAGGTGAGTCAACACCTTCACCTCTTCTTCTTCTTCTTCTTCTCTCTCCTTCACTGAATCTGTACATTTATTTGAACTCCACTTGAGCTTTTTTAAATTCTTTTATAGCAGGAGTTGACATAGCTGTAACCCGGATTCTGTACAGGCTTTAAAAACCCTTGAATCCTTGAAGCAGACTGTTAGGAATATTAAGGTAGAAAGATGTGAAAATGAAAAGATGACCTTTAATGTAGCACCTGAATTCAAGAAAAACCCTGAACTCTTCATTTTAACATTTTAAAACGGAATAAAAATATAAAATATATCAATAGTATCTCTGTTTTGAGCAGAAAGTGTTTCAGCATCTTTCTCTTCGGCACCATTACAGTTGAATCTCAGTGTTATTCTGACTTGCCGCACACGTTATTGTTTAAACAGTGTGGTTTAGTGTGTAAGACTGAGGACACATCAGTCCTGTTCATGACTGATGTTGTATTTTTAGTGCTCGTGACTCAGTGGATTTACATGTTGAGCAGATTTCAGGGTTTTGTTGTTGTTTTTTCTGGATTTCTGTTGACCTCAATCAGCTCCGCTCACATGTCTGTGGCTCTCACAAAGGCTTTCAAAGATGTAAACATCCACTGAGTTGTGTTCGCTGATGTCTGACCTCGCTCTGTCTGATGTGCCGCTGGTTTGAAAATGAATTGGATGCACAGTTTTTGGTGTCTTTTAAATGTTTATTTCTGTAGTTATGTTTCCACTTAAATTGCAAATGGAAGTCTGATTGGCTGCTCCTGAAGATCTCTGTGAGTCTGGGTCTGTGGCTTCATGGTGGTCTGTGTGTGTGTGTGTGTGTGTGTGTGTGTGTGTGTGTGTGTGTGTGTGTGTGTGTGTGTGTGTGTGTGTGTCAGTTTCTGAGATAAATGTTGCAGCCTTGGGCCTGTTTACATAAAGGTCTCACAATAAAGATCAAAGTCATGAGTTTTATCATCTGAAAACTTTCTCCGTCCTCGTCCAGACTCTGATCATCCATGAATGACGTCATCATTGAGGAAAATTTTAAGTGGGTCCTTTATAAAGTGTAGCCCTGCTGTTATTCTATTAATCTATGTTAGTCTTATTTCCCTCAAGCGGTAAGTAAGTGAGTAAAGTTTCTTTATATAGCACCTTTCACAGATAAAAAAAAGTGTTTTACATGATAAAAAGTGCAAAAGTTCAAGATCAAGAAATAGGAAAATGAAAAGCAATGAAATAAAATGGAGATATTCAGACTAAAAACCTGTCTGAATAAAAATGTTTTCAACTGCTTCATGAATGTGTCACAGGATAAGGTCAGAGTCTGTTAAAGGAGCTATTTGTAAGTTTTGCTATTGCTACATAGCTAATGTTAGCATTAACAGCTGTTTACTTGACAGTTTTTAAAACAAACGTTGTGAGTTCAGCATCAAATGTCATTCCTTAACTCACCAACATCTGTCTCCAGAGGTGGAAACAAATACCAGTAACTCTTTTCTCTATCATGTCTTTGTTTCTACTGAAGTTAGCATGCTAACCAGCTAGCCCTGATAGACGATAGCCGAAGCTCTTGTCAAGCGACAATCACCACCACCCGCTCCTGACATGAAACCACAAGTCCCTTTAAGGTGGCATTAGCTTCACAGGCAGAGGTGGTGCTAGTCAAGAAGGTTAAACCTGCCCGGAGTGAACCTCTTGACCTCTTGACCTCTTACGTCTCTTTTTCTTTTTGCGTTTCTCAGGAGGAATCCTCTTCACTTTCATTTCATCACAGACACAGTAGCCAATCGTATCCTGAGTTCTCTGTTCCAGTCCTGGATGGTGCCGTCTGTGCAAGTCAGCTTCTATGATGCAGATGAACTCAAGGTAAGAGCTCTCACACACACACACCTCGTGTCAAACACACCATGTCAGCCCTCATCCAGACACATGCACGTATCCCTGTTCGCTGCTCTCTTTTAGGACAAGGTGAGCCAAAGTCAGATCCTACATTTACCATATCAAAGGAGAATCTCTGCCGTCCAGGGCGGCAGCAGCGAGTCTAGAGGATACAGAGATGAGTTGAGTTAAATGTATTTATAAATCTCCTTTAACGGAAGAGATTCGCCTCAGAGCGGCATCAAAGAGCGAGAGACATCAATACAGAGACGGCACCGCACAGACACATCGCTAATTCTGAAAGAGGAGGTCACAGCTCGAGTCTGTGTGTCAGATCGTGTCACATTAACAGATCAGAGGATTGTTAGAGCTGCAGCAGTGTTAACTGGCTCTTACTTCAGGATGTGGTCGAGGGTCAAGCTTCAGTTTAGCCTCGTTTTTAAACTGACAACATTAAAGTAAGTTGTGTCAAACTGACACCTAAACATTATATGTCAGTGTAGAAACACATTTCACAACCGCACCACAGCCTGTGAAGTAACCGTGGAATCAGAAGAGAGGAGGCTCTGAGCCTCTCTTCTGATTGGCTGACTGTTTTCTGAGTGATCCAATAAAAATATAGCAGATTTCAGGTAAAAACACTCAGAGAAATCAAATCCTGTAAGGTTTGGATGGTGGGTCCAGGTGGGCGGGGCTTGGTGACTGCTTTGTTGTGACATCACAAAGTTCCAGAAGTCCTGACAGCTGGTTTTAAGGCTCAGTTTCTGAATACAGGCTGTGTGCATTTCTCTGTGGACTGAGGCTTTGATACTTTCACAGTATTAATATAGAAGCTAGAGCTGATCTATAATCACACTACACATGGACACAGACCTTCAGACTGGATGGAGCTTTAAGTAAAACTACAAAAGTATTAGCATGAGGCTTTGATAGTACTAAAGTAAAGAAAGTGCTCTTTATGCACAATGGATCATTTCAGAATATTGGATATTATTTTATTTGATTATAGTTACTAATCCAACATATAAACCAGCAGTCACTTCCAAGCTGCTGCTAAACTCCTGATTTTATAACCAAGAAATTAAACCATGAAATCGCCAAACACATGAGTTAAAGACAAAGACTGAGCTCTGGTTTCAGATATGTCCACTGTAAAACCCCCCTGATGACGCAATAGAAACTGTTGACACCAAATCATTTTGAAAGAGCAATGGCCAGTGGGGAAACACTCAGCCAGCCAACCAGTGGCGTAACTTCATCACTCAGTCAATCAGTTACAGACATTTTGTGTCGGCTGCCAAAAAGAGCAGGATTAATCTGATTATATAGAATAAATAAATGTGTCCAAGAGCAGAGTTTATTAAAGGACTTTAGCCTTGGTTTGTAATAGATTCTACAGGTGTTCCTAATAAACTGAAAACACCAGCATTAAACTTTGAGTGTGAACGTGCAATCTGCCCATTAGCTGTTTGTAGTCAGTTTTTAAGCCTGTCCTAATGGCTCGAGGACAGGCCCCTAAATTATTAGGATTCTTCCTCTGGAGACCATGAATATTGAAATGTAGCCATTAGTTTTTGACATACGTTGTTATGGGCCAACATAAAAATTGCAACCCGATGGCGGTGCTAGAGGGAAGCTTATAGCAGTCACCATGGTGACTAGGATTCATCCTGTGGGGAATGTGAACATATGCAATAGACTGTAATGACAGCCTGCTCTGTGGTGGTTCAGATATCTGATGCAGAAACAGAAAGATTCATGCTATCGTATACAAAAAAAATCCTTCTTTCTCTCTGTCCCTTTTGGATTTTGCCAAAAAAAATCTTCTTATTAATTCTAATTCATTCATTTATTCCACCGTGTCCTCAGAGACACGAAGTGCGGAACCAGAGTCTTGTCCAAGTGTGCTGAGGTTACACTTTAAAAACCACAGAATAACTAGAAACGCTCCAGGTGACCACCGAGTCCTTAAAACATGCCCTGCGAGATTAAAGCAAAGCCGTTATTGTAGTACAATTTGGAAATACAAGGTTATTACCTGACCGCAGTTAATTTTGTTTCCTGGTGTTTCCGAGGAAACCTTGTATCTGTACCGTATCAACCGCATCTGTATTGGATGGACTTGATCCGACCGACTGTGAGTCGCAGACCCACGTCCTTAAAGTTAATGCTCGACAATCACCATGAGGGCAGTTACAAGGTTTTCACCTGATGGCGACAATTGGCGACGGAGGAGGACGAGCTGCTGAAACTCGTTTCTCCCAAAGTCAAGTGACACTTCAGCACAAAAACACCAAATCATTTCTCTTAACATGAAGCTGATGAATGTGCTCTCACAGTGACGGGGAATGTAAGAGCAGCATGAATAAGTTAGTGTGTGTGCGTGTGCGTGTGCATGTACGTGTGCGCGCGCGTGTGTGTGTGTGTGTGTGTGTGTGTGTGTGTGTGTGTGTGTGTGTGTGCAACTCCAACCTGCATCTCCATCCTTCACATCATCACATTCTCCTCCCTCTCAGTCTTTGTGCTGAACAATGAGTCCTTTGTGCTGTCAGATGCTGCGACCTGCATGCTCTCTCTCTCTCTCTCTCTCTCTCTCTCTCTCTCTCTCTCTCTCTCTCTCTCTCTGTCTCTCTCTGTCTCTGTGTCTCTCTGTCTCTGTCTGTCTCTCTCTCCCTCTCCCTCTGTCTGTCTCTCTCTCTGTCTCTCTCTCTCTCTCTCCCTCTGTCTGTCTCTCTCCCTCTCTCTCTCTCTCTCCCTCTCTCTCTCTCTATCTCGCTCGCTCTCCGGTTTCCATTAACTCACATTAAACCGGAGAAAAACAGCCGAGACTTTAAGCCGATTATATTTGCAGATGATGCACTTATGCAGATCCAATTACTCTGAATCAAGAGAATTAATTAAAAGACATTATTTGCAGTTTCAAAAAAAAAAAAACACACACACATTGAGTCTTTGCCAAGATCTGCTGAATGTAGCTTTGTGTTAGCCCACGAACTGAACATTGCACATGTACAATGAACAACAGTGGAGCCATCAGTTGCCACGGTGACAGTTTACCTGTTTAAAAGAAAAGATGGCTGCAAAAAAAACCCCCGTCTTCCTGTTTGTGGTTTCAGTCCGAGGTGTCGTGGATTCCCAACAAGCACTACTCAGGTATTTATGGCTTGATGAAGCTGACGCTAACCAAAGCTCTGCCCTCCGACCTGACAAAGGTCATCGTCCTGGACACGGACATCACCTTCGCCACTGACATCGCCGAGCTCTGGGGCATCTTCAGGAAGTTCACAGGTGAGACTACGAACTGTAGAGAGAGCAGATTCCTGCACCGAGGCTGCACAGACCTGTACATCAAGTCCTTTAAAGACCTTTCAACATATTTCGCTGACCACCTGTTGGTTGCATTGTTTGCAGATAAGCAGGTGATCGGTCTGGTGGAGAACCAGAGTGACTGGTACCTGGGGAACCTGTGGAAAAACCACAAACCCTGGCCCGCACTGGGACGAGGCTTCAACACAGGTAACGAATCCAGACTGACGTCGGTTCTGACGCGACAGATTCAACAGGAAACAGGAGAAGAAAGAGGAGATGAAGATGTTTAAATGTTTTCACAGCATCAGATAAAAACTGTCATGTGACTGACTGTGCTTTTCTTACAGGCGTCATTCTTCTCTACCTGGAGCGACTGCGGCGAATCGGTTGGGAGCAGATGTGGCGGCTGACGGCAGAGAGGGAGCTAATGAGCATGCTCAGTACCTCGCTCGCCGATCAGGTCAGGGACACACACACCCACAACAAAGACAACACAAAAGATATCAGAAAACAATTAAACACATCATTCACAGTAACAGCGAGTTGTAATTAGATTTCTCAGAGAGGAGGTTTATTCTGCTGATGCTCCCATGTTTTACACTTTTCAATACTCAAATAAAAATACAGCAGATTTCAGGTAAAAACTCTCAGAGAAACCAAATCCTGCAAGGTTTGGATGGTGGGTCCAGGTGGGCGGGGCTTGGTGACTGCTTTGTTGTGACATCACAAAGTTCCAGAAGTCCTGACGGCTGGTTTTAAGGCTCAGTTTCTGAATACAGGCTGTGTGCATTTCTCTGTGGACTGAGGCTTTGATACTTTCACAGTATTAATATAGAAGCTAGAGCTGATCTATAATCACACTACACATGGACACAGACCTTTACACTGGAGGAGCTTTAATGGTCAGTAACACACACACACACACACACACACACACACACACACACGTTATAACCACACAGCTAAGTAAAGCGTCAGTTGCAACATAATGTTGAATTAGATAAATGTCTTTTTCAGTTTTATGTAAAAAGCCAGAAATTACAAGATTTTTACAACATATGACAGCACATCCTCCATCTTTAGAAAACAGAGAAACATCTGTGAGAGCGATCAATCAGCTTATTGGATTTTATGGATCAAATAAAAGCTGAGATTTACTCGTTAAATAGTTTGTTTTAAGAAGAGTTAAATCGACCTGAATTGAAATTCTGATATCGAACCTTCAACACTTCACTTTGAGGAATTTAAATGTGTAAATGCAATAATTTGCATAATAATTTTTATTTCAATTATTAACCACCTGACTAAAGGATGAGGAACAAGAGTGCTGTTTATCCTGCAGCTAAGAAAAGGTCAGGTCCAGATTTCTCTTTGATCTCCCCATTGCTGTTAGTCTGTTTACTGTCACACACCCAGCGGTGTCGGTGTGTTTGCTGAGCTCCGACCGGCGACCTTGATTGTATATTAAAAGACACAATGCGGGCTGCAAACAGGGAGCCGGCCTTTGTAAACTGTTGTGCAGATTGTAAAATCAAAGCTGAGGTTGCCAGGAAACCAGCAAAGAGACGAATAATATGGGTCTCCTCTCCGACGCCTTCGAGAGCCGAGGGACCGGAGACCTTAACGCCGCCGTGACTCACGCGGCTTTCAGGGTGGGTCGGTGCGCAGAACCAGAGCGGCTGCTGTTGTTGACGCGGTGTGTCGTGTGTCTGCAGGACATCTTCAACGCCTTCATCAAGCAGAACCCGGTCCTGGTGCACCAGCTGCCCTGCTTCTGGAACGTCCAGCTGTCGGATCACACTCGCTCCGAGCAGTGCTACACCGAGGTGTCCGACCTCAAGGTGCGCGCACACACACACACACACACACACACACACACACACACACACGCCCCATCGATTATTTACTCTGCAAAACCTGCCCCTGTAACGGCACTGAGAGGAGAAGGCAAATTTTAAAATAATGTAAAGAAATGTAATCACAACATTCAAGGTAAACAAGCTGCACTTACAATCTGCTGTTGGCAGTAAAGTGGACTTCTGTATTAAATCTAAAACAAGTGCTGGAGAGTTGAATTATTAACATGCACCTGTAGATGTTAATGCATTAATAATGGTAATTCTCAAATACAGAAATAAAGAGTAAGTGAACTGAGACTTTCACCATTTTCTCGCTGTTTTTGATCAATTTAAAGATGAAATGAACCTCCACAGGTTAGAGAAGTTCTGAGTAACAAGGATGGTTTTCAGAGCTGAATCAAGTGGCAGGACCTTTAAACTGTATTAAGGTGAATGTGCTGAGACGCCTGTTCACTGTGGCGTCCAGGTGATCCACTGGAACTCTCCGAAGAAGCTCCGCGTGAAGAACAAGCACGTGGAGTTCTTCAGGAACCTCTACCTGACCTTCCTGGAGTACGACGGGAACCTGCTGAGACGAGAGCTGTTCGGCTGCCCGAGTCAGGCCAACCCAGAGAGCGTGCAGGTGACACACACACACACACACACACACACACACGGCACATGTTGAAGTGTTTGATGTCGAGTCGCACTGATGGATTTATGAGAGTAAACGTGTGATAACGATCTTTTAGTCAATAATCATTTTTAACGTAACGACACGAACTCTTTCAGAAAAAGGATCTGAAAATCAATTATTACTTGGCAGGATGTCGGTTTGCCGCTCTCGCTGTAGAGCAAGAGTGTGGTCGCCATGGTGACGCAGTCTCATCCCAGCTTCGTCAAATCATGATTACAATCCAAATTAATTTAATTGGTTTAATTGGTTGTGGTGCGTTTAAGAGTCGAGTTCGTCTGAGAAAGATTAAAAAAGGAAACAAAGGAGAAGAAACTCGATTTTAAAATAAAAATGAGAGAGAATCGTCCAGTCCGAAGCTGCAGAGAGTTATTATCTAAAAACACTTTTCTTGGTAAGAGGCCATTGAGTTTGTTGAGTCTTCCCTCAGAGCTTTGACCTGGTGGTGTCGCTCTGTCTCCTCAGCTGCAGACGGCTCTGGAGGAGCTGGACGAGGACGACCAGTGTTACGACTTCCGGCGGGAGCGGCTCACCGTTCACCGCGTGCACCTCTACTTCCTGCAGTACGAGTACACGCCCACCGAGGACGACACCGACATCACGCTGGTGGCTCAGCTCTCCATGGACAGGTACCACACCTGGAAACCCAGAGCACACGGTCACCACAGGGTCCATCCTGTGGCTGTCCCGGAGCTTTCTACCACCTCATATGACCTTCATCAGTACATTTTAAACAAAATTGTCATTTGTCTCTGTTTTATATGGTTGTAATCTGAATATCTTTGAGTTTGGACATTAAGAAATATCAGCTCTGGAAACTTCTGATGGCTTTTTTCTTTTTTACTATTTTCTCACATTTTATTCACTAAAGGAGAAATAGATTTAGGTAAACTAATGCTCTCGTCGTCGTCAGTAACACGTGACTGTCTGTGCCGCCGCAGGCTGCAGATGCTGGAGGCCATCTGTAAACACTGGGAGGGCCCCATCAGCCTGGCGCTCTACATGTCCGACGCCGAGGCGCAGCAGTTCCTGCGCTACGCTCAGGCCTCCGAGGTCCTCAAGAACCGCAAGAACGTGGGCTACCACATCGTCTACAAGGAGGGCCAGTTCTACCCGGTCAACCTGGTGAGGAACGTGGCCCTGAAGAACGCCAACACGCCGTACGTGTTCCTGACCGACGTGGACTTCCTGCCGATGTACGGCCTCTACGATTACCTCAGGTAAGACCGGCTGCTGCTGACAGGTTGAGAAAGATCTTGTTTTTATAGCAGGAGAAACACACTGATGTCACTGTCCCACAAAGACAAAGTCCAGACAGTTTCAGACAGTTGTGTCGACGCAGCGAGGACAAAAAGAGAGAGAGAGCGTTTCAAGCTCCATACCTTTGCCCCGATCTCTGTCTCACCACGGTTTTATCATGGAGGTCTGCAGAGAGTTCACTGGGCTTCATGGTTTATAGCTGCCTTTCTAAACTGGTCCACTGCAGTTAAATAAATTCAAACCCAGTTGTAGACACATCTCAAGAACAGGTGAATCCAACAGGAAAAGACAGAAAAGGAGTTATTGAGTGATGAGATCGATGAGCAGCAGTAAGGTGAAGAGGTGTGAAATCTGTGAGTCGCGTCAGTCCCAGGTAAAGATGTGAACCCTGTTGATCTTACCTGTCGGTGACGACTCCTCCTCCTCCGCTCCGTGCAGGAAGTCCGTGGTGCAGCTGGACATGGCTCACACTAAGAAGGCCCTGGTGGTTCCGGCGTTTGAGACTCTGCGTTACCGTCTGTCCTTCCCCAAATCCAAAGCCGAGCTGCTCTCCATGCTGGACATGGGGACTCTCTACACCTTCAGGTACAGGAACATGAACCCAGAATCAGGCGGATGATGGAGGTGAAAACAAGGAGACTGGATGATGTGATCATCATTTAACCTTTTCCTTCTGCCGCTCCAGGTATCACGTGTGGCCCAAAGGTCACGCTCCGACCAACTATGCCAAATGGCGAACAGCCACCACCCCCTACAAGGTGGAGTGGGAGCCGGACTTCGAGCCGTACGTGGTGGTGAGACGAGACTGTCCGGAGTACGACCAGCGCTTCGTGGGCTTTGGCTGGAACAAGGTTTCTCATGTCATGGAGCTGGACGCACAGGTACGTCTGCACCGTGACGGGGGGGGGGGGGGCTTTAAACACGATGCTGGAGATGTTCGCTCTCCGTCCTCAGTGCGACTGTGTGGAGGTTTTCACTGACAGAGAGTGTGTCTGTCGTTTTAATGCACAGTTTTTAATCTTTGTGCCACATGCTGCTTTAGTTAAAATAATTATAAGAGCTTTTTTAAAACCCCAAATGGAGACAATCCACCATTTGGGAAAAAGTAACTCTAAATATTACTGTCTTATAATGATAACCATTAAATATACATGTTACCACTTAAGCACCCGTTTCTCTTGTTCTAACTTTAATGATCTCGTTTTGTCTGTTTCTGTGCTTTTATCCAACAGTGATTAGAGCTGCAATAATATAAATACAGTCGTTCCTAGTTTCAGAGATGCTGATCACTGATCTGATACCATGGAATCTGTTGAGAAACTAGATAAAACTGCAGTTCTTGGGAATCAATTCTTCTTCACTGCTCTAAAACGGCAGCCGACACAGGAAGTGATGCTGTGCAGCGGAGGAGAATTTGATTTTGGTAAATAGCGTAACGGCCGCGGTCCAGAGCCAGAGGCCACGCCCCCAGGCTTTTCCAAATCTGACCACACATCAACGGAAACTCGATGAGCGTTTGTTTGCAGCCGACGGGAAACTGATGAGAGACGTTGATTCTTCTAGTTTCATGAAACTTTCAGTTGTGTGTGAATCTCTGAATTCTTGACGCAGGGTTTGTGAAGAAGAGAAAGAATAAATGCATCTTCAGTTTCATGATTTCCATTTTCCTCTGTCTCAGCCAGTTTGTTTTCCCTGTCCCCCCCCTCAGGAGTACGACCTGATGGTCCTCCCCAACGCCTTCATGATCCACATGCCCCACGCTCCCAGCTTCGACATCTCCAAGTTCCGCTCCAGCTCCAGCTACCGCAACTGTCTCAACACCCTGAAGGACGAGTTCCACCAGGACCTGTCCAGGAAGTACGGCTCGGCCGCTCTCAAGTACCTGACGGCCCAGAGGAACATCTAAGAACCAGGACTGCTGGGAGCCGGAGGGTTCTTCAGCTCCCCTCCCTGCCCCCTCCCCCAAATGAGCTCCAGGAGCTCAGACACGTACTGACACAGCTCAGGCCACGTTGACGCCGAGCGCGAGTGCGACGGTAAAGCTTTACAGCCCCTCCAGACGTCCTCAGGCTCCCGCACATTAATTCTCCGGTCGACTCCGTCTTTAAAGGAGACGCAGAGACGGAAACCTGAGCCGGAGCAGAGAGAGAGCGGACTTCCTGTGAACGCAGGACTCACCGGGCGGGACGAACGCTGGCAGAGCGCAGTGTGGATACTGATGGGACTAGCTTTACGGCGGGAAAATGAAAACCATATTCTTACGATTTGTTCTGACAATCAGGGCTTTTTCCAGAAGACATGAACCACGTGGACAACTGGACACTTAATTCAAGACACTAAATGACGGGACCCGTGTCATTATGGGGGGGGAAAACATTGAAAGGAGAAGACGACAGTGTGAGGCCAGTCGAACTGGAGGAAGATCTAAGCCTTATCACTTTCCATATTTAATATTTTCCTTTTCATAGTTTTCTTCTTTTTTTTCCAGTGTAAATGAAAACCAGTGAAAATCAAACATCGTGTTTTAATTCTGACTTTACGTAAGAATCAGTTTGTTTTTCTTTTCTGTTTTCTGACCTCTGAGATCTTCTGATGACCCATCATCCCGCTCAAATGAGCTCAGTTTCTCTGTGGGCTTCAGGGATGTGCTTTATGTGTGTGTGAGTGTGTGTGTGTGTGTGAGTGTGTGTGTGTGTGTGTGTGTGTGTGTGTGTGTGTGTGTGTGTGTGTGTGTGTGTGAGATCCAGCTGCATCATATGGCAAGTCTTCAACACGCTTCCTGTTTCCTGTCTAAGTCACTCTGGCCTCTGTCTTGATCATGTATTTGGCTGCATGTAAACAGTTGCTCTACATGTTGTTTTCACATCAGAAAACAGACTCACTCTGTTGTTTCCATCCGTCTGAGAGAAGCAGAAATCTTTCACTGATAATCAGATCAATCATCACTGATCGGGACCAACTCACGAGACCAACGCTGACATCGTACAGTGAGTTGTTGTTGATAATAAATGAGAGCGAAGGGCAGGAGCTTTTTAGTTTCTTGTATTTTGTGCCATTTCGTCAAAATGTGTCGGATTCACTGGATAAACGTGCCATCTGCTGAACCTCCCTACCCACAATCCCCTTCTTTCTGTTAAGTCCAACTGAAATTACAAACCTTTCTGCAGTCCAGCTGCACGGATTCAGTCCGATCCGGTCCTGACAGGGTCCTGGTCCACTGCTGTGGATCCAAGTGGACTCCAAGTAGTGACACAAACAAAACAAAACATGGATCTGTTTGGATCTTGACCGCTTAGTCGACTTTTATATGACGCCATCCCCTGACCCTCCTGATTACCACTCGGCTTCTGTTCATGCGCGACAGGTTCGAGTAGGATTTCCACACGTCTGTTTTAAACCGGGAACAGTATGTTGGAGCTGTGAAGACTTTCTGAGCTGTGCCATCAGGGCGACAGACAGACTGTCTGCAACTTCTAAGCCAAGGACAGACGGCGTCGTGGTATTGAAGCATCTAAACTGACAGATCTCGCTGTTTAGACACTGACTCAATAATCTGATGAGCAAATCACAGAGCAGCTCGAGGTTCTGAGTCGAAGACAACTGGACGTGCTGTAGATTCTTAAACCCCTTCAGGTGTGAGAACGCCCCTGAACGCCTGGACTCTCACTGACTCCATCACTCAGTCAGAACCTGAGGAAACCTCTGAGATGAGATCTGAAACACCTTAAAGAATCTGCAGCAAATCCAGCTGCTTCTGACGTGACGCAGGTCATTTCAACAAACCAACGACGCGCCAGACGCGTCCATGCGTTAGCAAAGAAGCTAACGTTAGCTGCAGTTCCCTCTCCGTTGCTGGTCGCAGTGATAGTTACAGTTTTATGCAAACACAGTCTTGACTGACTATATGCAAAGAAGCTGTGGATCTACAGTATGTACGTATCTGTACACGTGGCACACAGAGTAGTTTATGCACAGACCAGGAGGAGCTGCGACAGAACTGATCTGTTCGATGTAGCAAAAAGGAAAACGCGTCATTTCATTTCAGTTGGACTTTAAACTTCCTGATTCCGTTGTTTCCGTTGAGTTTCTTTTCTTGTTATTTCTGGGAGGATGTTTGTGCCGTCTGCTCGGTCTGTCCGGACACGTTACATTTAGTGTTGATCATCCTCGTCCCAGAACATGAATGCTAATGATTTAGAGTGGGCGGGTCCTGAGCATCTACTGAGTGGATCTGTCTGTGTTGAGGCAGCTGTTCTGTGTAACGCAGGTCAGATTAAACACTGAGAGGCCAATAAAAGAAAAACTGGTGGTGTGATATTTTCGCCTCCTGGGGCCACTATCAGAGCTTTAAAATTCCTCTTTCCTTTAACCTCCTCATTTCCACTTGTGTTATAAAATATTCTCATCCATCACAGTGTCTTTTTTTATTTCCTCGGTCGCTGCGTCCGGACAAAAGAGCAAGAGGAGAGGGATTCAAACTGAGGCGACGTCAGATGTCGGAGTGGGGTGTGAATCTGAGTGATGGTGTACGTGACGGCTGCGGGTTCAGACAGTTTGTTTGGTGAGGAGTGAGTGTGAACTGTGCCATGAAGAGCCCCACCCCCTCCTTGCTGCCCCCCACCCCCACCCCCACACACACACACACACCCCCACCCCTCCCCTGCTGCCCCGGCTGCCCGTCCACGCCGCCTCCATTGACTTGTTGTTGATTGTGGTAAATGCTAGTGCCTTTGCTGTATTGTGAAACTGGATATTGATTGTACTGTTGTACTGACAGGGCCTGGGGACAGTCAGGCGCTCTATTTATTATTGTTGACTCAAATCAATCATATTTTTCTATGTAAGTGCTTTAAATAAATTTGCCCTTTTTTAATCACTTTGTCTGGGCTGTTTTGTTTTTCATCCTCAGCAAATACAAACTTTTCTTCAATCACATCAGCGTTTGCATTGAATTAAAGTTATTTGGGGATTACTGAGGCCTTTGGGGATATTTCTTTTTTTTTTAAATTCTTACCCCGACAGAACAAAAAATGTTCAGGGATATCCAGAAATTTATAATATTTATCAAGGTCAGTGGTTTTAAGCCTGTGTGAACCTTCCATGTGTGTAATTGGTCCAGTGAAAATTTCCAATACAAACTAAATTATTTTGGATGAACAGAGGCCCCCTGATAGTTCTCGTCCTCTTTAAATGCAAATTGCAATATATTAATTTGTTCTGTAACCGGCCCTGCAGTGAGCAGAACTGCTGCAGACTGTTTCTGAACGGCAGCAGAACTTTTCATTTTCTGTTGCTTTCTAACAACAAAGGAAACAACTTGACAAAAACACACACAGCATCCAGATGGAAAATATAGAATATATATCATAAAGCTACATGCAACACAGCAAACACCGGGAACACGGCGCCTGCGTTGCGTGAGCGTGGCGGCTGAGTTTGCAGGTTACTTGCATGTTGGATTTCTTTTCATTCTAAATTCATTTCTGATTTATTTTTGACAGAAAACGTCAGTAAAATGTCTCTGTCTCCATATGCAGCTGCTAAAATGGTGACACCACCTGAATGCTACTTCCTGCCTAAAGACTTTGTAGGGCTGCGTATCAATACCTTTATGGACCGACAGAACTGGTTTGATACAATCGCCGTTCTCTGCTCGGCTCAACGATGCAAAAATAATCATATTTGGTTAATATTTAGATTATTCGTGCAGCCGTATACGATACCAAATTTCAATACTTAAGGAGTAACTGAGTAAATCTCATCGGTGTCAGGGAGCCAATCAGCATGCAGCACGCTTGGTTCAACATCTAATAACGCTGGTGATTGGCTGTTCATTTACACCAACGTGTTCGAGTGAGTGAAGAGCCCGAGCTTAAAAATAAAACTAGAATTTTTACTGTAATGTGTAATTGTAAATTTCCTTTTGTTAAAAAGGATTTGATTTACAGATGAACTGGCGCTACCTGCTGATGGTAGTTCACAGGTGAGTGTCATGAATCAGTGATAAAACAGGTGCTTTTAATACATTACATGGTGTGGAGTGAGAGGGAAATCACACTGATTCCTTTGTGTTTTTTTCCACTGAAACTCTGGAGCAGCAGCAGCAGGATGAGCAAACTGATGATGAAGGGTGTGTCTGCATCCATTTATAGCAAAGTGTGGGGGTGGAGATGAGGCTGTAGATTTATAACAGAACCATGCATATGCACTGCTTTATTAATCTGATGAGAGGAATGCAGACGCATACTTCTGTCTTTGTGCAATTTACAGATTTTAATTCACGCGGCCTCAAACTTCTCTGCGCTGCCCACACAGAGATGGAACTGACTGATTCTCTCTTCCGACCGAAAGACAGACGGGAAAATGTCGGTATCTTCCTTTATCATCGTGTGCTGATGATACAACGAGTCAAACGTGTTGCGCGACATGCAACAACTGCTGTTACTCAAAGGATCCCAGACCTTCTTTAGCTGTAAAACACATAGTGCGAAGCCTTTGTGTGTGACAGCGTCTGTATGTGGAGCAGCCCCTGCAGCGCTGCGCTCCCTCAGCACTGGCACAGAGATGTGAGATCAGACCTCCTCGAGCTGCCAGTTCACAGCGGGAACACATCCACTTCTTCCCTCCAGGGTTCTTAGCAACAACTTATCAATTATTAGTCAGCCTCTCTGCATGTAGGCCACCCAACCCCATATGTAGTGTCACCAGACCCTCTGCACATATGTACAATTATTCATTAAAGACTGAGACTTGCACTCCCTTTATGTTCAGAGTCACGACAGGTCGACGCGCTGTATATTGTTATTATCAGAATAATTTACTATTATTCATTTATTATTCAGCGTGAGTCGTACTTCACTGACTTTTTGATTCAGCCTTTTATTGTGCAAATAAGCAGCATATTGAATCAGCTGTGATCAGCTCCTGTTAGCAGTGTAGCCAGGAATGTAGACAACCATCACTGTGATACTGAAGGAACCTTCATGGATCCTGGACACGATGAAGCTAAGTGTCCATGTGTCCACATCTGTTCTGAGTTATGACTCTGAGGAGTGAGATTGAGATGTTTGATGCAAAGTGCATCAATCAACCACTGAGGGTCGGTGCAGGAAAGTTTTCTGGAAAGTTATCTCTGCTTATAAACCATGAATGATCTTGTCTAAATGAAGGACGGTCTCGGACTTTGCCCCAAACAACTTCTGACACACAGAGTCAAAAACCTGGGAGGGAGACAGCTGCTGTTCAATGAGACCTGACTTTACAGCCCTGCGCCTCCTGCTGCGCATTCGCAGTCGTGTGGACGTCAGGAGAAAACGTAGCAGGAGTTTTTAAAACGTAAATCGTAGCAGTGTGGACGGACCCTCAGGCCTCCACCTCCATCACAGGGGAAATATCCTCGAGTCACCAGGACATAAGAAAAATAACAACACATGGAAACAAATCAGCGATGTTGTTGGTGTTTGTTGGCGGATATGTCAGAGAACAGCTGTCCAATCAGAGCAGAGTATGTACGTCACGTGATGCTTCATTGATTCAGTTCCTGCTTTTCACTCATGCTTATATTCTTTTGTTTATGTTGTCTTATATTTGGTCTTCTGCTGTTCAGCACATTGACTTGAGATGTGATGAAATGTGCTGTGTAAATAAAACTGCCATCTGCTGGTGAAGATCATGTGATATG